GTAGGGAAAAGGAACATCGGTACATTGAGCTTCTGGAAGCAGAATTGCATATGAGAAAGTGCTAGCTAGGAATCAGGTCTGGGCTCAAAATACTGCCAGTGGCATGTTTGACTTAACTGCTTGAGCTCCATTTCCTCATTTGAAAAGTGCGATGTTAATGGCTGCCTCACTCAGATTTGAGGCTGACATGAGGTGATGTCCAAAACTGCTACTTGCCCTCAACAGACATGGGCTCCCTCCACTGTCAGCTCTCCCTTCTATGTTCAGTGCCCTGAATTATGACAGGTTACACAGCTGGACCATGTGGATGATGACTCCGACTGCTTGACCCTTGTTTCCTAACCCAACTGATTACTTTTAGAGTATGGAGGAAAGTGGAAAATGCTTCATTATTTTGCTCGGCATTTCTTTGCTCCGCTGTTGCCGGTGGGTTTTGAGAATGAAGATGTGTTTTTCATCTATGGTGTGTCAGACCTTCACTCAGACCACAAGATGATGCTCACTGTAAGTTGCTTGGATTTTTTTCTCTCTGTGGTAGAGGGCGAATTTTAGATTTCTTTAGTTATTTGGTTCTATTCTTTTTTGGAAAAAAGAAAAGAGAAATTAATTTGTATCAAAATGTCTTTAGTGCTTGCAGCAGAAAATGAGCTGTTCTTGGAATTGGAAAACCCATATTCATGGAAAAATTCTGCTATTTATTCTATGACCTTAATGTCTTGGTTCAGTTTCCTCATCTGTAAAATGACACCAGCCTGCCTTCTTAAAGGATTTCTATGGATAGTGAATACAGTCATTAGATGACTGTGCATTGTAAACTGTAAAATGCCAGTTAAATCTAAGGTTATTTATAATCACGAGAAGCTGGAAATAAGCTAGACTTTACCAAAAGAAACCATTTAAAACAGTATGTTAAAGTGGAAATCAGTAAAATTATTCAGAATATATATGTGGAAAAATGAACTTGTATTTAAAACAATTTTAGGCAAAAGAAAGGATAGAAACTCAAAGAAGTCTTGGGTGGCTACAGTTAGGAGGACATTGAGAACAAGCCAGTCTATGAATTAACTATAATGTGCCAGGTCCTGTGCCTTCCATAAATTGCTTAATTCTCACAACAGCCTGTGGAGTTAGTGCTGTTATTATTCTCATTTTACGTTTGAAGAAATGGATACTTTGAGAAGTTAACTTCTTGGTTACATGACAAGTACTTGGTGGGGCTATGGTTAAACCCAAGTTTCACAGTCTCTTAACCAGTTCTGCTATTCTGACTTTCATCTATTATTACTACTATTATTCTCTAAAAAAAAAAATAGTACCTAAGAATATTTGTTTTTTTTCTGTCTTGTTTCTCCCCAGGTGAGAGTCCACACATGGAGTTCCCTGGAGCCCGTGTGCTCTGAGACGACGAAGCCTTTTGTGATGAAAGCAGGGGAGTCTGCTCTTCTCTATGATAAGCCAGTAGCTGAATTATTAAGAGGATGTACAAATTGTACACGACAAAGCTGTGTGGTTTCCTTTTACCTGTCAACTGACAGGGAGCTCTTGAGCCCAACCAACTATCACTTCCTGTCCTCACCAAAGGAGGCCAAGGGGCTCCACAAGGCAAATATCACCGTAAGCACCAGTGGTTTGGGGTCACCGTGGCTTTGTGGAACTGTCCTGCTTTTTTGCAAAATTCCTCCTTGGTACGGAGCTTACCTGGGACCCGGGGAAGATTGGCCCCTTCCCACTGGAAGCAAAGAGCAAATAATTTTTATTTCTAATTCAGCATTTGTCAAAGCTTAAGGTTCCTGCCACTCCTGCTGTCCCATCACATCTCCCTAGTCAGGCTGGTGCAGTGGAGGGCGAGGCAGCAGGAGTCATCACCACTGACGGCTTCTCCTCTAGGTTCCAGGCTCTGTCTGTCCTGGGGGCTTTACTGCATCAACCGTGAAGTATTATCATCTGCATATACAAGTGAGCAAACCTGTTTGGAGGGACCGAGTAACGTGTTTAAAATCCGTAGCCAAGAAACAGTGGAGCCCGGTAGAAGCACTCTTAATTTTGCATTTTTAAGGAGAGTCTATTCATTTAAAAACTGTTCACTCTACTCTCTGATTTATTGCTTCCATGTTGCTCAATCACCAAATCTCTTTATCACTGCCAAGAGAAAAAAAGGGATGATCAGGATAGGATGTGTTATCATAAAAATTGTGTAGCTAGGGCTTCCCTGGTGGCACAGTGGTTGAGAGTCCGCCTGCCGATGCAGGGGACATGGGTTCATGCCCCGGTCCGGGAGGATCCCACATGCCGCGGAGCAGCTGGGCCCATGAGCCATGGCCGCTGGGCCTGCGCGTCTGGAGCTTGTGCTCCGCAACGGGAGAGGCTACAACAGTGAGAGGACCCCGTACTGCAAAAAAAAAAAAATTGTGTAGCTAGGAAATTTGGAATCTGTCTAGTTGATTGAAAATCTTTCCTTCCCTTTCCCCCTCTCCATGTAGTGATTGAAACTTTCTAGAAAAATATTTTCATTCTCTATTTTTAATCAATTTTAAGTTTGTTTTAGATTTCATTGAAAAGACTTAAGTGAGAGGATTTTTTCCTTTGGTTTGGAAATCATATCAAAACTCAGTCCTTGAAATGAAAGCATAGCTTCCTTCCCAATTAATAATGAAATATTCCCATAATGAAATCTATCTGTAACAACTGATATAGGGCAAATATGAAGGAAATGACATACATTTACATAGCTTCTTTCCAGAAAAAAAGCACAAAACTGTGTAGTAGACAAATTTGCAGTCTCTAGACAGGATTTCAAAATCTTTCTTTCCTCATCTGGGCCTCCATTACTTTGAGATAACTGGGCTGGGGGAGAGGTAGGACTCTTCCTTTGTCCTACCTCAGCGGATTTCAATGAGACTTTGCCTATCTTAAAGGGATATAATAACAATAACAATAATAATAGTAACGATAGTTAACGTTATTGTAGGCTTAACGTAGGCCAGGCACTTGGATGTACTATCCTCAGGGGGATGCTGGGGACTGAGTTTTCCTCCCTGTGTCCCTGAAGCCAGAGTACAAGCTTGAGCTCTGGGCTCTGCAGTCAGATATGCAGAGATGAGGTTTCCAATCAGAAGAAGGCAATAACAAGAGTGAGCAGGTGCCAGTGTCCCTTCTTGCCTTGGCCTTGGGACAGAGTAGCTGAGGCTTCCATGCAGGCTTGGTGGCAGCCAGGGCCAGCCATGTAAACTGTGTGCCTGCAACTGCTTTAGGGTCTTCATCAGAATAGGTGGGTGGCATGATTTGGGAATCTGACATCTAACTTCAAGCCGGCATCTCTGACCCTCTGAGAGCTTACCTAATACATTTTGTTTCTTTTTTGCTTCTACCAAAGTAGGGTTTCTTGTTAATAACTCAGAACCCTGCATGCTGTCTCAGGCAAAGTTATATATAGTAAAAATTGCCCTTGGAAATTCTTTATGTCACACATAACCTATAATGTCAAACCTATGGCATGGCATGTATGCATGTTGAAGAGTCATGTTTCATGACAGATGCACGGCTTGAATACCAGGTCCCACTCAACTGTGTACTCACAGTGAGAGAGGTTCACAAACCCCCAGCCTCCAGGAAGCAGCTCTGTCTCACTCTTTGCCTGTGCTAAGAGGCTAATGAATGACAAGACTTAAACTGTGCTCTCCTTTGCTGATATCATGTGGGATTCACACATGTTAAAAGTGCTAATGTAAAGCAACTATACTCCAATAAAAATTAATTTAAAAAAAGAAGGAAAAAAAATTAAAGTAAGAAAGTTAAGAGTCAGATTACAAAGCTGAGAATTCACATTATGAAGACTTTTTCAAATATTTCAAAGTTGGATGGACTTATATCCAAATGAATAGGAAAATAAATAATTTCATTTAGATGGTTCAGATTAAATTAAACGAATACTTGAAAAATTCTAAATAAGGACAATGTGATAGATACCTAAGAATGAACATTAGTAAATCTGTCAAGAGTAATATGAAAAGCAAATTAATTTGAGCTGAATAAAAAAAAAGTGCTAATAATGTGACTTTACTGACGATGCAATAAAAGAGAGAGAGCTCTAGTGGTAGAGCTTTTGGAGATGCCCGGCCGGCTGCTGCCTAGATTGCAGGATCTCCTCAGAAGACTAGAAGGTGAGCCCCATGGCTGTGCTCTGCAGCCAGCTCCACACAGATTCTGAGAAAGTCATTTAAACCACCCAGCCCTGGTGCAGAAATGTGCCTCTCTTGATGAGACCCTGAGAAAAAGGTATAAAGCTGTAAACGCTACAAAGCCTTGAGATTCATGTGAAATATTCTCTTTAATAATTGGAGACTACATATTCCCCCACCCCCGCCTGGTTTGAGATTACAATTTGGTAATTTTCCTCAGCCTTCAGTACATTTCCACATATTTTTTAGCATCTGACCCAGTGCACGGAATGTATGACTTTAGCAGCTGCAGAACCAAAGAAGTTGTAGGAAATGCACTCCTTGTTAGCCACATCGATGTCCTGATAGGCGCTATATATAGAATAGAGAGCTCTGTCCTCGTCCTTCACTTCGTTTATCTTTTTCTTTCAGGCCACCATCTCTCAGCAAGGGGACACATTTGTTTTTCATCTGAAAACCTCAGCTGTTGCTCCCTTTGTTTGGTTGGATGTAGGAAGCATCCCAGGGAGATTCAGTGACAATGGTTTTCTCATGACTGAGGAGACACGGACTGTATTTTTCTACCCTTGGAAACCCACCAATGAGAGTGAATTGGAGCGATCTTTTCATGTGACTTCACTGGCCGACATTTACTGAGGGAATACAGGTTGTATTTCCAGGAGCTGAAGGCAACCAGAAACAAGTTGAAGAAGCCAGGAAATGCGTCTGCTTGCTGTCAGGTGTCTGCATAACCACTTGGTGAAGAGTTTGTACAGAGCATTCTCCCAGGGAAGGCTGTGTGCTCAGGTGATGTCCTCCTCCAACAAAGCTGTGCCTAGGTGCTGTCCAGTCTGCACCAGGACTGTGGTTTTAGCCCATTCCCCCACAGCTTTTGCACCACATGAACCAGTTATAACCCAACTGCCTCTCCAAGCCCCGAAAGGAGGTCTGTCCACATGCAGCCCTTTAAGGGAATCACAGGTACGTGATTATTGCGGTATCTGTGGAATCAAATGTGGAAGGTCGTGAGGTCACGTAGGCTCTCGTGGTTAGCTTTGAGAAATACCAAATAATCGGAATGAAACTGCTTTGTTGTTATTTCCAGAGGAAATGGAGATTCAAATGTCACGACAGAAAGAGATTTCTGGGTGGTAGCCATATTGGTTGCTACTGCCGGAAAGTTTGGGGGGTTGATTGTTGTCATTCAGTTACTTTTTTGGGTAGGAGTCCTTTTTTCATTTGCAACGTTTTTTAAAAAATATTGTTTTAACAATAATTTATTTTTTCAAAGGCCATTAGAGTGATTCTCCTTTGGAAAAAAAGCTCATATTGAAATGGACATCACCATGGTCACTTTGGAAACTTTAGGGTGTCCTGACATAGGTCACCCGTCGTTATGTATAGGCTTCAGATTTGGTCGAATCCAGTCAGCTTTCCAATTCAAGGCTGTGGTTAGATTTGTACTTGGTGATCCTGGCAGTAAAGTGGTGTTCCCTTTACCTTGAGTTTGAACCATCTTAAAAAACATTGATTAATTATAATTGCTATGAAATCATTTTATTCTGCATTATCATGTTTATAAAATTACATTGGTAATGAAGCAAAGGGGGCAAAATGTTAATAAGTAGCCAATTTGGGTAAAGGTGTGTAGGAATTTTTTGTTCTGCTTTTGCGACTTTTCTGTAAGTTTGCAATTATGCTAAAATTTTAAAGTTATATAAATTGCATTGACAACTTGGTGTTTCATTTGTGGCTTCTTTCCTCATTCCATGAACACTCAGTTTTGCCCAGTACCATGCTGAGCATTAATTTCCATTTAGCTCTGGTCAAGTTTTTAGTCTATTTGATAAACTTGAAGGGTTTGAAGAATCTAATCCAGGATATTTGAGGCGTCTTCTCTAAGAAGAATCGGGTAATTGGTTATAGAGTGGACTGGCAGTGAGAGTTTGGCTTTAGAATCAAGACTATATAGATAATAGTTTTGGTTTTAAAGCTGAGAAACTTTTGGCCGTGGTTCAGAGACTAAAAAGAAAATAAATGCAGCCAACCCAGGCCTCTCCTTCAGTATCTATGAGTTCCCTCATTTTATGTGTTATTTCAAAATATATATAACAGCCTGATGAAAGGCTGTGACTTAGGGATGTAACCCAGAAGATTCTTACCTGATAAATATTATATCACTTTCTTGTCACTGTTGCTGGGGGAGAGGGAGGACACACCTCTCCATTCACTAGAGCATTTTTCTGTGCTAGGTACCTTGTGAGGTGGGCTTTGAAGTTGATGGGCCAGAATTTACTGGGTTGGCCAAACCTGAAAAGTTTGTTTGGGTTTTTCCCTAATTCTGTAACAACCCAATACATTGCAGTTCTGCCCTTACTAGCTCTGTAACCTTAATCAAGTTATTTAACTTCTACGTTCAGTTTTCTTGTGGTACAGTGGGAATAATTATGCTCACCTTGTAAGTGTGGGGGTTTTTATAATTAATTAATTAATTAATGTTTGGCTGCATTTGCTCTTCATTGCTGCATGCGGGCTTTTCTCTAGTTGTGGTGAACAGGGACTACTCTTCATTGTGGTGTGCAAGCTTCTCGTTGTGGTGGCCTCTCGTGTTGCGGAGCACAGGCTCTAGGCGCGTGGGCTTCAGTAGTTGGGGCACGTGGGTTCAGTAGTTGTGGTTCGCGAGCTCTAGAGCACAGGCTCAGTAGCACACAGGTTTCGTTGCTCCGCGGCATGTGGGATCTTCCCGGACCAGGGATTGAACCCGTGTCCCCTGCACTGGCAGGTGGATTCTTAACCACTGCACCACCAGGGAAGGCCCTGTAAGTGTGCTTTGAAGAATAAATTAAAAATGTGGTTCAAGGGCTTAGCCCAGTACTGACACTTAGTGAAGGCTCTGTAAATGGAGGCACCATTCTGGGGTGTGACCCTCTTGTCTAGAGAGGGCAGGGCTTCCAGCCACACTGACCTGAGTCAGAATCCAAGTTCTGAGGCTTATTGGCTGTGTGACCTTGGGCAACCACTTGATCTTCTAGATTTTAGTTTTCTCATCTGTAAAATGGAGATAGTAATCTCTAACCTTCAAAGGTAGTGGTAAAGATTAAACAAATAGGGTCTGGAGCAAAATAAATGCTAGTCATACTTTTTTTGTGTGTGTGTGGTACGCCGGCCTCTCACTGTTGTGGCCTCTCCCTTTGCGGAGCACAGGCTCCAGACGCGCAGGCTCAGCAGCCATGGCTCACGGGCCCAGCTGCTCCACGGCACGTGGGATCCTCCCAGACTGGTGCCCAAACCCGCGTCCCCTGCATCGGCAGGCGGACTCTCAACCACTGCACCACCAGGGAAGCCCTAGTCATACTTTTTTAACATCATTATCACTCAGTACATGAAGCAAGGGTAAAAATGAAGCAAATAAAGGCAGATGCCTTTTTTCTTTCTTTTTTTAAAATTGAAGTATAGCTAATACAATATTGAGTTAGTTTCAGGTGTACCGCAAGGTGATTCACTTATATATATGTATTTTCAGATTATTTACCACTATAGGTTATTACAGTATATTGAATATAATTCCTTGTGCTATACAGTAAATCCTTATTGTTTATCTGTTTTACATATAGTAGTGTGTATCTGTTAATCCCATGCTCCTACTTTGCCCTCCTCTCTCCTCCTCTTTGGTAACCATAAGTTTGTTTTCTCTGTCTGTGAGTCTGTTGTGTGTGTGTGTTTTTTTTTTTAATATTTTTTGATGTGGACCATTTTTAAGGTCTTTATTGAATTTGTTACAATATTACTTCTGTTTTTGTATGTTTTGGTTTTTTTGGCCGCAAGGCATGTGGGATCTTAGCTCCCCAACCAAGGATCGAACCTGCACCCCCTGCATTGGAAGGCAAGGTCTTAACCACTGAACCACCAGGGAAGTCCCTCCTGTTTTGTATATAGATTCATTTGCATTATTTTTTGAGATTCCACATGTAAGTAATAGCATATAATATTTGTCTTTCTCTGACTTGCTTCACTACATGTGATATTCTCTAGGTTCATCCATGTTGCTGTAAATGGCAATATTTCATTTTTTTTTTTTTTTTTTTTTTTTTTCCCTTGCGTTATGCGGGCCTCTCACTGTTGTGGCCTCTCCCATTTGCGGAGCACAGGCTCCGGACGCGCAGGCTCAATGGCCATGGCTCACGGGCCCAGCCGCTCCGCGGCATGTGGGATCTTCCCGAAACGGGGCACGAACCCGCGTCTCCTGCATTGGCAGGCGGACTCTCAAGCACTGCGCCACCAGGGAAGCCCGCAATATTTCATTTTTAAAAATATTTATTTATTTATCTTTTGGCTGCATCGGGTCTTAGTTGCAGCATGTGGGATCCTTTGTTGAGGCACGTGGGCTCTTTGTTGCGGTGTGCAGGCTTCTCTCTAGTTGTGGCATGTGGACTCCAGAGTGCATGGGCTCAGTAGTTGCGGCACGCGGGCTCTCTAGTTGTGGTGTGTGGGCTCCGGAGCATGTGGGCTCTGTAGTTGCGGCACGTGGGTTTAGTTGCCCTGCGGCGTGTGGGATCTTAGTTTCCTGACCAGGGATTGAACCAGTGTCCCCTGCATTGCAAGACAGATTCTTAACCACTGGACCACCAGGGAAGTCCCAATATTTCATTTTTTAAGGTTGAGTAATATTCCATTGCATATATGTATATAACACATCTTTTTTTCAGTACTGTAGTCAAGAGATCACTTCAATTTTTTTTTACTTTTTATTTTTTTAATTAAAAATTTTTTTAATTGAATTATAGTTGATTTTTTAATGTTGTGTTAGTGTGTGGTATACAGCAATGTGATTCAGTATACCAGCTGGTATACAGTAGGACCTTGTTGTTTATCTATTTTATATATAGTAGTTTGTATCTGCTAGTCCCAAGCTCCTAATTTATCCCTCTCCCACCTTCTTTCCCCTTTGGTAACTATAAGTTTGTTTTCTACATCTGTGAGTCTGTTTCTGTTTTGTAAATGAGTTCATTTGTATCATATTTTGGATCCCACATATAAGTGATATCATAAGGCATTTGTCTTTCTCTGTCTGACTTACTTGATTTAGTATGATAATCTCTAGGCCCATCCATGTTGCTGCAAATGGCATTATTTCATTCTTTTTTATGGTCGAGTAATATTCCACACACACACACATATACACATACACACATACACATATACCTACCACATCTTCTTTATCCATTCATCTGTCAGTGAACATTTAGGTTGCTTCCATGTCTCCACTATTGTAAATAATGCTGCTGTGAACATTAGGGTGCATGTATCTTTTCGAATTAGCGTTTTCTCCAGACATATGCCCAGGAGTGGAATTATTGGATCATATGGTAACTCTATTTTTAGTTTTTTAAGGAACCTCCATAGTGGCTGCACCAACTTACATTCCCACCAACAGTGTAGGAGGGTTCCCTTTTCTCCCCACCGTCTCCAGCATTTGTTATTTATAGACTTTTTAGTGATAGCCATTTTGACTGGTGTGAGGTGATACCTCACTGTAGTTTTGATTTGCATTTCTGTAATAATTAGTGATGTGGAGCATCCTTTCATGTGACTTTGGCCATCTGTATGTCTTTTTTGGAAAAATGTCTGTTTAGGTCTTCTCCCTGTTTTTTGATTAGGTTGTTTGTTTTTTGATATTAAGTTGCATGGACTGTTTATATACTTTGTATATTAACTTCTTTTTTTTTTTTTTACATCTTTATTGTAGTATAATTGCTTTACAGTGGTGTTTCTGCTTTATAACAAAGTGAATCAGTTATACATACACATATGTTCCCGTATCTGTTCCCTCTTGCATCTCCCTCCCTCCCACCCTCAATTAACTTCTATTGCTCATATTGTTTGCAAATATTTTCTCCCAGTACGTGGGTTGTTTTTTCATTTTGTTGATGGTTTCCTTTACTGTGCAAGAGCTTTTAAGTTTGG